AAAATTGAATGATAAGACATTTATTTCAATGTTTGTGTATACAACTTACATATTGTCGCGTGTCGGCAGTACAGGGCTTTAGCAGGAGTTGTTTGTTGATCTATTTTTGGTAGCGCTTTCACTTGCAATCTTATAGGGACGTTACATGTACTGCACTAATGGTTCGAATTAATTAGGCAAAGACTTTGAAGATGAGTCCTCTACTAGCAGTTGAACCAGATATGTATATTAAAAATGTAGAACAAATCAGATGTAACACTAAATAAATTAATGTCAACACACAATGTAATATACAAGTTATTATAGCAGCAACTGTCACAATTACATTTGTATTGTAAAATGATGAGCAATGTTCATTTGTAATTAAATACACACAGAGTTCAGTTATTTAGATGTTATTACAACTTATGAGTTTGTTACCTTATGATACTTATGAACAATTTACTTAAGTATAGCACAGGATGCATTTAAATCAAAATTTCGCTGATATAACCGCGTATTAAATTAAGACCTTAACGGCGTTCCATAAAAATATATGCAAGTCAGTGAACCGTAGCCGCTTATATCATTTATCAATAACAGCAGAAAATAATGTTCATTGTCAATAAATATTAACAAGAGCCATGTCAACATGGCCATCCCCCGCCGAATGTGTTTGCTCATTGGAAGAATGTATATGTAGTAGAACAGAATAATTTCATTTAAAGAGGTCTTTTGGTAATGAAAACTGATGGCTATAGTGATTACAGATTTGAAACCTATGTGAATACTGATGGCTGAAAATAACAAAGGGCAATAACTTAAAAATAATGCAGGGTAGGTTATCATTCTTGTGTGCTGCATCCCTCCTCAGTAAAATCTATCCACCTATGAAGTTTCAAGTTGATACCTCAAATACTTTTTGAGAAAAAAATTGAATTGAAATATCAAGTATGAAAAATAACAAAGGGCAATAAATCAAAAATTATGAAGGTAGAGTTATCATTCTTGTGCAATGCACACCTCCTGAGTGAGATCTATGCACCTATGAAGTTTCATTTTGATATCTCAAAGGCTTTTTGTGTTATGCTCTGGACAAAATTAATTTTGAAAAATAACAAAGGGCAATAACTCAAAAATCATGCAGGGTAGAGTTATCATTCTTAAGCACTGCACTCCTCCTCAATGAGATCCATCCACCTTTGAAGTTTCAAGTTGATACCTCAAATACTTTTTGAGATAAGCTCTGGACAAAATAGCATGAAAAAAAACAAAGGGCAATAACTCAAAAATTGTATAGGGAAGAGTTATCATTCTTGCGCACAACATTCCTCCTCAATAAGATCTATCCACCTATGACATTTCATGTTGATATCTCAAACACTTTTTGAGTTATGCTCCACTCAGGTGAAAAATTAGGTATGAAAAATAACAAAGGGCAATAACTCAAAAATTATGAAAGTTAGAGTTATCATTCTTGTGCACTGCACACCTCCTGAGTGAGATCTATGCACCTATGAAGTTTCATGTTAATATCTCATAGGCTTTTGGAGTTATGCTCTGGACAAAAATCAATTTTGAAAAATAACAAAGGGCAATAACTCAAAAATCATGCAAGGTAGAGTTATCATTCTTGTGCACTGCACTCCTCCTCAATGAGGACTATTCATATATAACATTCCTCCTCAATAAGATCTATCCACCTATGACATTTCATGTTGATATCTCAAACACTTTTTGAGTTATGCTCCACTCAGGTGAAAAATTAGGTATGAAAAATAACAAAGGGCAATAACTCAAAAATTATGAAAGGTAGAGTTATCATTCTTGTGCACTGCACACCTCCTGAGTGAGATCTATGCACCTATGAAGTTTCATGTTAATATCTCATAGGCTTTTGGAGTTATGCTCTGGACAAAAATCAATTTTGAAAAATAACAAAGGGCAATAACTCAAAAATCATGCAAGGTAGAGTTATCATTCTTGTGCACTGCACTCCTCCTCAATGAGGTCTATCCACCTATGAAGTTTCAAGTTGATAACTCAAATACTTTTAGAGATATGCTCCGGACAAAAATGTCGGACGGAAGGACGGACGGACGGAAGGACGGAAGGTCGGACGGACGGACGGACGGACGGAGTCTATTTCTATATCCTCCGCCGGAAATTTTCGGCGGGGGATAATTATATATTGCGAGACAGTAACAAATTATGATGTAAAATCTTATAAAATGAGTATCTTGTAAATAAATCGTCTTTCTATAAAGAATCTTGCTTACTAAAATTAATGACGCTAGGCCGCAGACGAATTTATACGCTAAGTTAAATGGCCGCCAAAATTTCTAATGTTTCAAATTTTCTAAGAGCCAAAGACAGCGTACATGTAAATGGATGCTGCCTCTAAGAAAGACAAAACTAGACTGACTCAAACGGCTGATTTCGCCGTATTTATATGAAAACGCCCAACCATTGCCCCAAAAGTGGTTGGAATGGTAGAAAAACGATCAACAACCAAAAATGGTTGACGGCTGTCAGACAAAAATGATCGGAAGCGATCATAAACTGATCGGACTGAACTTAACTTTAATGGAGGAAAATTTTACAATAAAAGAGCTATAAGCAAATACAATAATGACTATTTCCAAATATTCTCTACCTTTTGTGATGTTATTTCTTGCGTACCAAAACAGAACATCTTCTGCCTACTAAGTGTTTACAGAAACTAGCCGATGCAACAGCTATAAATAGCCAATAATGCAAAGTACAAAATGGCGGCGTACAGTAAATTTCCAACACATGAAAATTACATTTCAAGGAAAATACAGTGAAATATGTGGATTTTAACAAAGTTACTTGGCAGTTTGTTAGATAATTACATTCTTCATCTGAGGAAATCAGACTTTACATAAAATACAAACATTTAAGGAATTATGACAGCTTAAAGTCAAGATTAAAAGGATTGTTTACAAACAATTACAGCTTAAGTGTCACGGATAAGGATTTCTTACACATAAAGTTCCAGCAGCTAATATCATTGGTATAACCTGTTTAAATGAGCTAAAGTGTGTTGTTTAAAATGTCAATACACAGTTCATTTTTCATTTAATGCCTTGTTAAAGTCAACAACTGGTACTGGATTTCACAACCCACTGATAAAGTAAAGTTCATGTAGGTAAGTTTTCTAAATAAATAATTGTTACACAGTTCCCAGTTAAATTATTGATTAATGCCTGATACTTGGGACACATCATTATGTTCTCCAACTGGTCCTTTCTCTAGTTGGTTGAACAGACGCAATTGTTTACCCTCTGTATATCGTTCACGCACTTTTCTTGTTTCTTTTCAATAACCTAAATTTCGTTGAATTTTTTGTTTATTTGTTCAAATATACAAACTAGCTTTTCGTCCGTACTCAGACCGCATCAATTAGACCGCAACAAATCATCAATTTCAGTACTTCCCGACTGCCTTTTTTCTCTTACGGTTTTGGTTTACAGACTGTCTTTTATGACTGTCATGGCGCTCATCAAACCGGTTTTGTGTACTTACAGAATTTTTTTTACAGATTGTTCACTGTCAGATACCGCCTCCGTGGTCGAGGGGTTAGAGTCGATGACTTCTAATCCAGTTACCTCTCTGGCGTGGGTTCGATCCCCGGGAGATGCTTTGGTAGTTTGGCGCGGAGGAAGGTAGTCTAGTACTGGTGTAACTCTCCAGGAACGATGGTTAGGAAACTACCCGCCTATATGACTGAAATACTGTTGGAAAAAGGCGTAAAATGAAACAAACAAACAAACAAATCACTGTCAGATTCCTCTATTGAATCTTCCATCTCGCTACGATATGTTCCATGATTCATTTTCTAAAAATTGCAGACTTGCTATCGAATTCGGCTTAACTTTAATCATATTTGCTTTGTTTACAATTTTCCTGCTTCTACCCACAATTGACCGGAATTACAATTATATCATTTAGAATTTACATGTAACGTTAAATTTATAAAAAGAGTGGGACAGTATTTTTATATTTTAGCTGGGTCGGAAGTGTATTTTTCTGTCCCAATATCTTTCTGTCCCATATATAAGTAAAATTATGCTCTAGTCAAGTCGAGCTGAACTGTAATTAGACAGAATCATTGAAACAAAGGCCTGGGATTTCCTATCACATGTATAAGTTAATTTTTAGCCGCATTCTCTTATTTATTCTCCTTTTTCTTTATTTAGTATGCTCACTACAGCAAGTGTCAGGTGTAATGTACTAGGTAATCAAAAGTTTCACCGTGGTTCATACATGTATAAGCATTAACATAATTATACATGCTTTTTGTATTTTTCCTAAAATTACTATTGATTCCAAATATGTTTAGTGTTGAGAATTCAATATCGCTCAAGCTGAGTTTGCGGGACCTTGCAGTATCTTTCATGAGAGTAGTGTTATGGTATCAAGAAAGATAACTAATTCAGTAACATTCAAAGAAGTAATTGTGTTACTTCCTCCTAACTGTTATATCTGATTTTTTATGTCCTAAAATAGTCATGTGCCTCTCTGATAACACAATTCTCACCCGAGCTCTGATCTGTTTAAGTATCTACAAGTAAACACGATATTAAATAAAGAATCTTGTTATCATCCATATATTTATGTTATCATCCATATAACATAAAAATTGAGACTGTATTATCCTACTTTTTGTTGTTTTGGGGGAATAATAACGTACAAGAACATTAAGAAATAATATGGTATTACTGACATCTTTTATTCTCTGCATCAGACCATTGAATATATGAAAAAGCATTTATATATATCCTTTTAAAAATAATTATGTCAATTAAAGAGCATATGTAGTGCATTACAAACTCAGGTTGGTCGGTAAGTAGCGTCTTGGTTCGTCGCCACAAGTCGTTTATGCTTGACGAAACCTTATCTGATCAATCATATTTAAATTTGTTCACATTATATTCATACTAGCCATATGTGTAGTATCCCTGACGGTTCCACTGGTTAACTTTATTTGGCATTCTTCTAATTACGAATGACATGTTTAATCAGGATACAATTTCTTTATTGGTTTCAATAGCGTGGTTATAAGCAAAATGTATACAAATTTGTCCTGTTGATTTTAAACGGATTAACTATTTTTGGTTTATAAAACGGTAGTTTAAAAACTAAAACTAGTTACTATTTCTCCACACGTTAAATATTTACTTTGTGGTATATACCGATAAAGGAAATATGCAATGCATTTTGCAAATATTTTATAAAAAATATAGCGTTTTAAAATTGCAATGGATTTATTAAAGCCACTAGAGAAAAGCTTTGTTTGTTTTGATAAACATAACATAGTCAATGACCAAAACACAGGACAGTTAAAACACCAAAAGATTAACAACGTACAATGGAGTGCTACAAATGAACAACTACGGATGTCAGGCAATTCCGAACATTATGCAACTATTCAAGACAGAAGCGGTGAAAACACGTTTTTTACACCAAACCCTGAATATGATAACGCTACGCCTGGTAAACGTGAAAGTACCTCGGCTCAATATGTGTCTTTTACTACCGGTGATCGACTCCCTACTAGCCCAAATAAAGAAAGAACCGCTGGTTATTCGTATGCAACAAATGGTGAGATATACTTTCTGCGCGATTCAAACAACGAAAACCATCATAGCGAGCAAATGCAACAACTTGAACATAATGAGAAAAATTCTAAACACGATGCTTATATATCTAAATATCAAAGTAAGGGTACTGATGACTCAACTGACACTTACCTTGAACCGAACCCTCGACGGATTGGAAAGAGTGGTGATGATACTAATCATAGCGATATAAGGATAAGTTGGCTTGGTGAAAAACATGAGTATCATCGACCAGACGATGGACTTGGGGAAACAATGGCTAGTGCATATGATTTGGGCAGGGTACGTATTTATAATTAATGTAGATATAAGTAGTTGTACTTGCACTTCTCTAAATTCCTTTATAGACTTACCAACCTTCAATTATGACGAAATCGTTTATTATTATAGTGAATATTTTCCAATGAGTAATAGATGAATAACTGACAGTGCTGCCTTTGATCAGACGTCACGAATGCGTCGGCTGATCTTGGTATGGGTTGAATCGGTGCCTCTAACAGACACAGGGTTAAGAAGAAAAGACAAGCAATTACGTAGGGGCTCAACTTGTTACTATATATTTGTATTCTTTACTTAATAGACACTTTCTTACAATCTGTTTAGACTGGAAATATTTTTTCAAGACTAGTGTATCATTTGATGTAAGTCACGACTTGTACGCATAACATAAAATCATTAATTTTCTTTTCCTCCGTTTGCCCAGAATAATTATCTTTATTATGCAAGCATTTCAAATTTTATTTATTTTAGACTCTTTGACAGTGGAACTCCTTTGAAAAATTGTAACGTATGATCAACCTTGATATTGCAGGTGCCTTCAAATAAAATAGTGACATCACCAAATAAAAAGGACAAGAAAATATGTAGTAAATGCAAAATGATTACTGGCGTAATTCTGGTTATATTAGTTGCCGCTGCCACTGCCTCTATTGTCACAATTCTAATGTTTGGTAATTTTAAAGGTAATTTTAAACACGTTTCATTCATCAACTTAATAATATAAGTTGCAATACAAATACAACCAGATAATTCTAAACTACAAATAAGTGCAACAATAGATGTACCTTATAAATTAATATACGATATACACCTCGTATTAAAATCGTTTTTAATACGTCTGTATTTGAAATGCCTGAATATGATCGAATGGATTTAATTTGATAGTATTAACAGTTAAACTGTCCCTTTTTATGAAATGTACGAGGGCTGTTCAATAAATACGCGGAAAAGTGCTGCCATATTTTTAATATTCATGGGAAATTGACGTTCTCTTTACATTTTTTTAATAAACATATAATAAACATGTACACTAACTTTCAATAAAATCAGATAAAAATTCATAGTACAATTTCCAGTATTTCTAAGGTAATCGCAGTGAAACTGGCCCAACATCGTAACGACGTCACGCTCAAGGCATGTATTAGAGTCACCCAAAAGACTCACCTAGTCCTTCTCGAAATACTCCCTAGAAAGGAAACACACTTTTTACAACGGTTGATCCTTGACATGAAACTATTAAAGTTGGAGCCATTATTTATCTCTGAAATTGCAGCTTGCACCGCGTAGGACAACTCGTCCACATCATTAAAGTATTCTCCCCGCAGGACGTTCTTCAGTGTCGGGAACAGAAATAAATCGTATGGTGAGAAGTCAGGGCTGTAGGCCGGGTGCTCGAGGACTTCGAAGCCGAGTTTCCTGATTGTGTACTGTGTTTCGGCCGCACGATGAGACGGTGCGTTGTCGGGATCAAATATCGTGTCGGCGATTTCGTGGCCCGCTTCTTTCTCATCGCCCTCATGAAATCGCGTCTGCTGTAAATTTTCAAAATATGTTTGTCTCTATTACTGTATGAGTTTTATTCATCTAACTTGGAAAATAAGGAAATAGCGACACTTTTCCGCGTATTTATTGAACAGCCCTCGTACGCCTGTACTCTTGATTTACCTCAAACAATACACTTAATATCTCTGATTATGTTTACAGTGAAAGTGTATTTTTTGGCATAATGCCTTTGAGGTGCTCCTCATATTGGCGCGGGAATTGAGTCAATAGTACATGTACAATTTAGGATACAATCATAAATTTTTCAGGAAATCATCTTAAGTTCCATGTAAATTTCAAAAGCGAAGAAGGCCTAAAATGTGTTTGCTCATTCAAGATCACAGCACACTCCCTTTTACTAATTACTTTTACTTATTTACTATTCAAATTTCACCTACCTTTACTTCCTTTTGTCGTTTAGATAGGCTATCGACATCTTCGGATGAAATGGCATCATTTTCAAATGATACACCATGACCGGGCTAAATCGAGCCAAGCCTGAAAGAATGTCAATTTTACTGTGCTGGCCGACATTTAAGATTCTTTATATTCTAACTTTAGATTATCATATCTTTTTAAAGGCTATGTATAGGAACATCTTCAGTAATATATCCATTTGTATTCAATTGCTTTTTTAAAGTAATTTCCGGTCTCATTAACCAATTTCACATGTTATAAACCATCCTTTTCAGTAATATATGTAATATATATTCATGTGATATGTCAACTATGTACTATATTTTGTATTTGTATATGTAATATGGTGACGAACAAAGTAATAAAATTATGTCATATTCTGATCTGTCCATTGATAGAAACTCGTAGACTTTAGTATTTATCGACAATTTTAAATTATAATACACTTGTTTTAATCAAAAGTAGTTTAGAGACAACTAAGCAATTAGTAAGATGATCTCGTTTCGTCATTTAGTTACTTTTTCGTGATATGAAATGCATTTATATTGATATTATTTTTAATAATTTTAATAATCAAGTATTCATATAAACGAACACTAAACTTCGCTTTTTAGACAAACCGATGGAACCCCTAAACAGAAAAAGAAAATTTGATCTTTAATTTAGATTATCTGTATACCAAAGTAGTAGATAACAAAACTGAATTATGAATGAATTAAAAATCTTTTTTTCGTACATTGCAGAGGTTGACGACTTGTGTAACAACAAGGATGGGTGTCAAACAAAGTGCCAAAAATACCCAAATTTGTCCAACGGCCATACTAATGTTACTGAGGAGGTGTTACCACAAGTGGCTGTTAAGATAAATTGTAATAAAGGTTTTGAAGTAAACGAAACAGATACGGCAATTTGTCTAGAAACGGGCTCTTGGAGTGAAATAATTACATGTGAGCCAGTTGACTGCGGGATATATCAGCCACCTATCCATGTTCATACTCAACAGTCCGTAAATGAAACAACAGTAGGGTCATCAATTAATCTTAAATGTGATCCTGGTTTCCAATTTACAACATCTAGTGATAGTTCCGTAATTTGTAACGAAATTGGCGTGTGGGTCGGGAATCCAAAATGTGAAAATTTAGGTAAGATATTGCAACTTTCGTTTTAAAATGGTTTTTCAATGTTGTTACATAATACATGTAATTCCTTTCATAACTTTTATTAAATCTGATTTATATTTGCTGCAACGTCTTTAAACAGACTCAAGCAAACAAGACATGTATTATTTTCAACCTTTCCGTTTTGGTCGACGTTCAATTTCTCCTCCTTTGGTTATTTTTACTACAGAATATACTTTTTCTTTGCATTTATACTGATTGTATGTTACAGTTGATTTATCTGTAGACACCGATACTGTCCTCATCGGTGGGATGGCAAACCTGTCTTGTGAATTCAGAAATATACCAAACTGGAGGAATATAAAGTTTAAACGCATTAACAGAAAAGGTGAATCAGTAACAATTGCCTCTGTTGTCAATAATGTAGACTCGTACATAGTGACTAAAGACAACGATAGAATAAATATTGAAACAAAATTTACGCATGAATCTGGTACATTAAAAGTGATGTTTGAGACCGTCAAATGTGACGACGCCTTCGAAGAACCTGGTGAAATAATCATAACCTGTGATATTGAAACAAGTGAAACCGTGAACACATTTCGTGACCTGAAAATTGTTCAAATAAAAGGTAATATTTGTTACAGAACTTCTTTGAATCTTTCGCAACATAATTAAGTAATAAGTTCGTGCACAATTGCCTTACATGTAACATGTTTGTTAGTAACAAATCTTGAAGAAAACTTCGACCTATTCAGCCTGTTTTTAGTTATTTATAACATTCCTTCTCAATTAAAAAAAAACGTATTTCTCATTTATTCTATACAACGTACATTGGTACATTGATTTAACACATTAAGGGCGGTAAGGGCTAAAATGACTTCACTGAGGATTTTTTGACATGACGGGACTCGAGATAAATGTTCTATTTGTTGAAGTATTGACTAGTTACTTGTATGCAAAGTTTCAGATTTTCTATTACTTCATTTGACCATTAATTTTATTATTCAAATGTGAAAAGTAAAAAAAAATGAAATTTCAAGAGTCCTAGTTGATCTTTTTAAGAAATTCAAATCTTATGCGTTCAGATCTTCAGACATCAGTGCAGTTCTTTTTATTAAAAAGTCGCATCTTCTTTTGATATGATAATTTTCTGGGAATGTTTATCCCTTAGGCAAAGCGGTTAAGCCGGAGCTTTTCGTGCCAGCCCATGTTGTCGAAGGAGATATCAAGTCCACACTTTTTCATTGTGAGATGTTGTTTCCAGAACCGAACGGTCACGTGACCGTTGACATTGACAATGGCAGTTCCATTACAACTCTGCTGTCTTCTCCAAACATTAGGTAATCACAATTATCAATTAATTTTTATATTGATCAATCGGTAATAAAACTAATCCGACATGAATACTAATTCACTTTTTACAGATTTTTTTTAAATCACAATTTATTCATTTATTTTTATGCTAGAATATTTGCTGTAATTGTGATAATTTTCAGTTACATTTTGGAACTGCAAATCCAATGATTCTAGTAGTGTTAATTAGATCATCAATATTAATATGCCTTTCCCGTCTTATTTGCATGACATCATTACCACAATTCAAATTGATTAATAATCCATCATTAATGAACTAATAAGAATTTAGTCTTATTGATATATGAAAAAAGTTCGATATTTTTGTTTCAAGTGAGTGGCCTTATGTTTGGTCCTCTTCAAACAGAGTAAGCAATACAAATACGGCTTGGATTGATACCATAAGGTTTGACTTGGAGAACTGCTGGTACAGAATGGAACTGACATTTGGTCTGAAAGATGTTTCAATGGATTGGCACAGGAAACATATAAGATGCACTGCAAAACTGTCTGAAGAAGCAACTGACCAAACAGTGTTCACATCTGACAGTGGCGTCGTAAAAGTTATACAAGGTAGCTATATGTATACTATTGAACTTTTTAATTTATTTTTCCTTTCTTCTGCACATATTCAAAATTACAATGTATGTGTTAAAATCTTTTCAAAGATGATAAGTAACATTTATTTGCTTATTCGGACTGTTAACTTCTTATTTGACAGAAAATTTGAACAATGGCAAAGGTCCGGTACTTTTGTTTTGGTACATTACTAATTTTACACATATTGTATGTCAGAAACTTTTCTTATTGCTGACTTCTTATTTTATAGATACCTTATGCAATGGTAAAAGTCAGGTACGTTACCCGTATGACTGCGAACATTTCATCGTTTGTGATGACAAGAATCACTTCAATTCAGTTTTGGAAGTGAGAGCATGTGACAACAATGCATGCTATGACGACCAATCTCAAACATGCAGTCCGTGTTCGCCATCAAGAGGTTGTCCAATAACAGGTAATAATGGTAACTCGGTGACACTTTAACTAATTAAGCCTCTATCACATCAGCCGCACGAAATTTGGTTCGCACGATCTGTATTGAAATTTGTGCCGTAGAAAAGTCTCAGGCAATTTCGCAGTCTATCTAGACAGATCTAAATATCTGTCAATTGACATCGTATGATTTCGGCTTTCAGTAGTTGCAAGATGCTTGTGCGGCAAACCTGCTGTCCTCGAAATACAAATCCGAAACGTTTTTACACGAGAACCTCTAAACATCGTGCGTCTGACGTATGATTGTCTTACGTTTGTCTTGAAACATCCAAAATCTGTCAAAAAATGCAGAATTAATGTGCATGTTTAGAAATCAGTCTGCGACGTTGCGGAATTTGTAAGCATGCGGCACCGCACGAAACACATTAATTTGTGTCAAAATCTGTTCGTACGACTGCCGAAGGGCTGATGTGATGGAGGCCTTACGTGATGGTTGACCGAGTATCTACCATTGTCTGACAAAAGAAGCACATGCACATGATCTCCTGCATTCTGTTACCTTGCAAATGTTCAGACTTAAAAATATGGTCGTTTGTTTTTCATGAACTCTTTTACACTTTTTTATTCATTAAAATACACGAGATGTGGTACATAATTGAGAAGAGAAAACTTTAAGTATTATATTTTGCATCTTTATGATTTTCATGATAATAATCATAAGCATAGTTGGGTCGTCTGGAGTATGTGCTGTTAATAAGCTGTAAAAATTCTTGAAGAGCTTGCAGGACACACGTTCGTGGTTTCAGTTAGTATTACTTTTCAAACTATATTGACTTGCTTATCGGCATACATTACACCGTCAATTAATTTTGTAATATGAATTTAAAAACAAGTATAAAAGAACGCCCGAACGGTATAAATGAAAATGTCGCAGGCTTAGTTAAGCCTATTTATGAAATGTTACGATATATGCAAGTTACCATCCACGACGATGCCACCGGCTGATAGTTGACACGAGTTGACTCTTTTTCTTGATTCTTGTGCCTACATGATAATATTATTTCTATCTTATGAACCATTTTTTTTAATTTCAGACATATTCTTCAGTGGCAGACATTCAGCTACTATTGAAGGACAACTTGACATTGTCTGTATCGTGGAAGACTTTAAAGGGCTTACTGACATTAAGATCACAAGGGCTAATGGAGAGTTCGTATCGTCGATCAAATTAGGAGATAATATACGGGATTTCAACACGTTGTCGGATGCGACTTATGTAAATGAAACCCATGGAATGCTTTCGATACATGCAGACTTCCTTATTTGTACTGATAAAGGAACATATCGATGTAGTCCGGAAGGAACTGGAGATGAACAGTCAGAAGACGTTATAGACCTTGACCTGAATTGTTGAAAATATATGTATTAAAAATTTTGCATGACAACATATCACATTACCTTAGTTACATAGTATTTAATGTATATTTAAATATACATCAATTCTTTTACATCATCAAACTTCACAATATACAAAAGAGTTAGGCCAAATGTTTTTACAACATTATCATTGGCCATTCCTCTATATCGAAGCGAAATTAACGTGCTAGATTAGAAATCATATGGTTGCAGGTTCTTTCTCAGCTCTAAAAATAGTTCAGAAATGAACCGAAAAAAAAGAAAAATACCATCAACATGTATCTTGCGGAACGAGATTAATCTTGTTATTCAGCTGGTTATTGAGTTCTAACCTTTTTAGTTCCCTCTTAGTCTCTAATAACCGTTATTTTCTTCTAAAAGATTTGATAATTTGAAGACTGATCTTAATGAACATACGTATTTTTGAATTAAACATTTGTTATGGTAGAAAATTAAGGTATTCTTTAACCGGAATGTCCTTTGAAAAAAGTCAGAAAAGGATTTTATTACAAACTGATTCCTTAAGGTGCGTTTTTTCATGGTCTTCTTTGAGGCTTACCTTATATTCTTCATCATCAGCAGCAGCAGCAACATCATCAGCATTAGCAGCAGCAGTAGAAGCTGCAGCAGCATCGTCATCAGTCATACTCATTATAATCACCACCACCACAACCATTATCATCATCAACATCATCATTAACATAAGCTGCAGCAGCATTGTCATCGTCATTATAATCACCACCATCATCATCATCGTTGTCTTTGTCAACATTATCATTAACATTTCATGAATTTGTCTGTAATTATTGTTGTTATGATAATTAATTTATAATAATTGTTGTTTTTGTTACTGCTCTTTTTAATGTCTATATAACGTTTAATGTATTTCATTTTAATTCGCTGTGCAGAGTTTATATTAAATGAAAATGTTTAATGAATAATGATTTATTCTCAAAACAGATTTACCTAAACTTAAAAAAATATACATCTATTCAACGAGTAGAAGGCAATGTTCAAATTCGTATGATACTCATCAATTACTTATCGTTTTCATCGCTCGGTATTACCTACGATTAAGCGAGCAGCAATAAATATATTTCTATGATCTCAATAAACCAGTATGCTAAATTGCAAAGACAACTTGCCATTACATGTTTTGTAAAATGCGTGGCCGTTTATCTCAGATTTCTATCAGAATTAAAGGTTCAGTGATAATGATAGATCATGTTTGTCGGGATTCTTTTTTCAAACACTGAAAGGTGAAATTTAAATATGATAGACCAGTGACAATAGACTAAGTAATGACGAGGAAGTGACATTCGATATTAATGTATTGGCACTACAAAGGAATCCACTCAGCGTGAGGTAGTGACTTTGACACTGCTATTGTTCTAAAATATAATAAATTATATTTGTTATCCCAAGTGCAATGACTCCAAGATTAAAAACATATATTTTTACTTTTTATGTCAGCGAGATATGTGAAAGAATTTTAACTACGAATACGAGTCTACGTTGTTTATGTTAGAATAACTTCTTTTCAAACACGCGGGCAATTAAATAACGAATAGCGTTATTGTGTATGTACATGTTTCTGTGCAAACCGGATGTGTGCGGACATGAATTGCACTTCAGTGATTTGTCATCTTTACTGAAGCCTGCTATAAAGCGTTACCTTGGAGCTTCTTGCGGAATTATCATGGGAGCTTTTTGGGGCATTATCCTTGGAGCTTCTTGGGGCATTATCCTGGGAGCTTCTTGGGGCATTATCCTGTAAGCTCTTTGAGGCATTATCCTGGGAGCTTCTTGGGGCTATATCCTGGGATCTTCGTGGGACATTAACAGTAGAAGTAGTTTGCTCGCTTGCCCATCCTCGTTTCTTACAGGAAAAATGCGAATACGAAAAAAAGAAAATAAAAAGAAATTACATAATAAAATAGAGAAAAATAGATTCCTTAAAGAAAGTCTAACACAGCAAAATTGTAAAATGTAGCAGGCCCATTTTGATTCAGCTTGTTCAAGGACGTTACTGTCCAACTATTTGAAGTAATCAGAAACTAGAAGCTTAAATGGTTATAGACTGATAATCAGGACAGCAAAGGAAAATTAACCTGGAACACCTTAATAATAATATACGATGCATTGCATCTTGGTGAAGAGAAATGACAAACACGTTCAGGGCTAAATTCAAGTTGGAAACACGTATAATTATGCAGATATAAAGTAAAAATGAATTTAACAAAATCTGTGCATCAGATTGAACTAGCTTTAAATACTGTGTTGATATCACTGTTATATCACACCCCTCCTGTCTTCATGAGAAATTTTCCGCCAGTCTATAACGCGCGTGCTATGGATTGCTGGTTGGCCTGTAATTGAATCATAAACATTTCTGTTTTAAGATAGCCTTGTCACAAAAATGCATGTATAAATCAAAGTTATTTTTTATAAACTATAATTAATCTTACAGGGCACCGAGATGCAGCGGCTACGTTTAGATTTTTTACTATAACAGTTTGAGTTAAATACATACGAATTTTGCATCAAAATATCATTTATGTTCATTTTTTATGACAGCCACACTTTATCCTTGCATATCGTGGTTACTTCCTAAAAAATACACTTAAAGCAGTTGCCTCGACTGGGAATTAAACCCAAGATATCTCACATCCTTAACGAGCGCGTTACCCCTGAACCACGGGGAAGCTACACGAAGAATGCTTGAATAAAATCTCATATAATTCTTAATTTAGAATTTCCATTTCGGGTTTGTAATCCGTATTAATTTCGATGTATTTTGTTTACGATAAACCTGTTGTTTAACACTGATCTTCTCGTCAAAACAGTCCGATATTTATTTATTCCACTACTCGACAATCAGATTCATTCTGAAGTATTCGGTAATCGACATCCCTAAAAATAACATTTTCATTGGAATGATATTCATCCGCGTAATTTGTGAGTGTGCATTTATTGACATTTTCTTTAAGCCAACCTACTTTAAACTTTGAATGCGTTGTAATTTGTTGGATACTTATAAGAAGATGAAATATTTCTTTTTTTGCTTGTTTCAATCTGTTTTAAGAACTACTTGTTGTTAGGTTTGTCGTGAAATTTTGTGCCAGAGATTGAATGTCAGCATTGTATTTCCTGATCTTCGATCAGAAAATACAAAAACCGTCTGCTAAATGATGAAGACATGCACTAAACTTGAAAAGAAAGCAAAATGAAAACTTAATTTAAATTTCACTTGTTCACCCACTATATACCCTTTTATGGGCATAATATCACTTTAATTTAAACAATTTGTACCAGCAACAACTTATAAACTTTTAGGCTTTCTTTTATAATTCAATATACTGACACAACAATCATTTTGATAAAAAAGCTCAGTAGTAGTTTATCATTGCAGATTGCTAATGGTTGTTGCCTGCAATTTAGTTTAAGTTAAGAGATAATTTGAAGGAAAAAAAAACACACACACACACACTTTACATCGATTTGCTATTTTATAACCATTGTACTTGCCCGATGTTTCAAAGAGGAGTAATCTGATATCACAGCTTATTATGAAGGTGCAAAATGAACCGTGAATTGTGGAGGAGTCCAATTGCCAAAATTTATTCTGCCATAGCCCATTAACAAGCCGTTTAGTTGATAGCCGTGAAATTAAATGATTAACGGTTCATTCATAGTTATTGTATGTAATCAGTGTTTTTAATTATGTTATGTATTGGCCTGCACATTATATTGTTACTGTTTACAACTGTCACACGGCAACTTGAAAATACACAAAAGTAATTGATAATTTGAAGACTGTGATTGAGTTTGTCCATAACAGAAGAGGCAAAATAAATTGTACTGGCTTATTAATTTTTCACTCTTTATAAGTACATGTACAAGTACGTTAGCTTTAATTAATGATCGTTGAACTTAGATTCTCTTTATATCTTTCTATGTTTCGTTCAGCACAGGGTACATTTTGAATACATTCTTTGTATTCTAAAGTATTTTGTATTGAAACCATACAAAAGAAAATAATATCAGCGTGTAACATTTACCTTGTGACAATTAACTCTATCTATTTTACGTGCACTGTTTATTCTCAATGTATACACCTGGTGTCGTATAATAATAAGACGGGCGTAATATTACCACCCGTGCAAAAACCGCAATTATTCATTGATATATAATGAGTGCATTCAAGATGCAGTAAATCATTCTTTTGACAAATTGTTATCTAAATTTTTTTGTCCATACCATTTAAAATACAATTCTACATAACTCGAATTCATCTTGCTTCCTTTTTTATGCCCCCGCCATGTAATGGCCAGGACATATAGTGTAACCCTGTTCTGTCATTCAGTCCTTCCGTCCTTCTGTCATTCTGTCATTCCGTCATCATCAGTTTCCGTTCTTTATTTTAGTAACGGTTGCACACCTTCCACTCAAATTTAAGATATGAATATGTCATGAGAAAATACAGGTCAAGTTAGAATTTAGTCATGGTTCGATGAGTTATGCCCCCTTTATTTTGATAATAATATGAAATTTTCAGTTTTCGTTCATTACTTCCCCAACGGTACAACACATTCAACCCAAACTTGACATATGGATACGTCAAAGAAATGCGCAGGTCAAGTTCAAATTTTGTCATGGTTCAATGATTTTTGGCAGAGTTATGCCTCTTTTAATTTGAAAATAATACGAAATTTTCAGTTTCCTTTCATTATCTCCCCAACGGTACAACACATTCAACTCAAACTTGACATATGGATATGTCATACAAACATACAGGGCAAGTTCGAATTTGGTTATGGTTCAATGAGTTTTGGCAAAGTTATGCCCCTTTTACTTTGAAAATAATATGAAATTTTCAGTTTACGTTCATAATCTCCCCAACGGTACAACACATTCAACTCATACTTGACATATGGATACGTTAAAGGAATACGCAGGTCAAGTTCAAATTTTGTCATGGTTCAATGATTTTTGGCAGAGTTATTCCCCTTTCACTTTGAAAATAATATAAAATTTATAGCTTCTGTTCATTATCTACCCAACGATGTTACATATTCAACTCAAATTTGACATATGGATATGTCAAAGGAATGGGCAGGTCAAGTTGGAATTTGGTCATGGTTCGATTATTTTTGGCAGAACTATGTCCCTTTCACTTTGAAAATAATATAGATACATCTTAGGAATAAGCAGTTAAGGTTTAAATTTGGTCGTGGTTCAATGATTTTGAACAAACTTTTCTTTCCTAAATGTTGGAAAAATTTTGAACTTTCAGTTTCAGCACTCATACTTTTGTGGAAATGTATGTAGCCATTATTTTGTGTTAACATTGAAACGTTTTTAGGGCTTTGAACTTAAAATGAAAAAGATAAGTTTGCGAACAAATTTCGAACTAAATATTATAACATCTGAAAGTTTGACTGCATGCGGGGGCATTCGTGGCATGATAACACACTTCTAGTATTTCAAAGAATGCATGGATGATTCAAAGAAAGCATATTTACGAATCATGACTCAAATATTATCCAATTTATTCAACAAAATATTAAAAATCAACATTCTCGTCCGCTCAGGCATCTACGTTAATGAATAAATATATATGAATCGGGATAAGACTTGAAAAGACGTCCGGTTATCTCAAAAGGTAGAGCATTGACATGTGAACCTGGCAAAATGGGTTCGGTTCTTAGATGTTGCAGTCACTTTTGTGGTGATTGGTCATGAAATTGATCTCCTCTATGGTTATTTACACTGTACCACTGATTTGAAAGAATGCATGTACGTAAGTTATCAGTTCCTTGCGAATGTGATGGAAAACTGCTTGACAGC